CCAAGGGTTAACTTTTTAACTCTCATATTATGCATGTGGTCGTCTGTTGTTGGTTTGCCTGCAGACTAAGAGTGACATAATAACATGTAGTGTACAGTCTAACCTCCGGTTGCGACCACTTCTCGTAAGCAACCAGTTTTTCAAAATACCAAAAGTTTCCAAGTCAGATCACTATATTTGGAACCTCTTGTAAGCGATCACCTCTCGTAAGCGATCACCTCTCGTAAGAGAGCGCAACCACTTTTAGAGCTAAAAGTTTGAAATTTCCTTTTGTTTTCAACCTTCAGTGAGCGACCACTGAACACATTATAGACCGAAGATTGGACAAGACACATTCTAAGATGTTGTAACACCATTGCATTCCTAGGTAGTACAAAAGATAGAAATTTTCTCAAGGAAAAGTACCGGTTTTTCTCTGGAAATTGACTTTTCTGATGACTAAGACGTTTCAAACATGGGTAAGACTCAGTAGTTACCATATGCTAATGAGGAAAAATGTTGACCAGCAAAAAGGTCTGAGATCTCGATAGCGACCACCTCCCATAAGCGACTACCTGGGCTTGACATTTTGGATGGTCGCTTACAGCAGGTTCGACTGCAGCATTTTTAATTTTACGAAAAAAACTATTTTTCTTCGCGAAAAACAAAGTGAAACGTCTTCGAAAAAATAAAATTTGTCATATGTACATTGCAAGCGTAACTTGACATCTTATAATTTTTTTTCAGGAGTATGGCAAAATTAGAAACGGACAATATGTTTGCCAAAGGAAAAGAATAAATTTAAATTCAGTCATTTGGATGGCGTTTAATTAATTAAGTAACTTTTAACGTATAACAATCATACGCATGGAGACCTGTAAAATATAATGTTCAACATCCCGCCTTTTGTCAAAACGTTAACAAAACCGAGGAATATATTAAGCGAGCAGTCCAAGTCGCAATAACGTCCTGTTGTAGATATGTATTCAACATTCAGACCAACTTAATCACGAAAAAATATGAACAAAGAAAACTTATTAAGATTGAAACCAACGACCTCGATGTTTAATTCATAATAAGGAACCAAAACAAAGCTAGGGAACACGGTATATGTCGACGAAGTTGAAGGTTTTTATTTGAGTGATTGTAAAAACATGAGTATGCAACGTTTCTTTCATTGGAATAGGCCAGGCCTACAAGAAGAAATTCTTTCCTGTAGGCGCGGTTGAAAAACCCGCAGATAGGAATATTTTGTCTACATGATAAGTGCGTAATTTAAACAGGATGTCTTTGTAAGAACAGGAGGAGTCAAACTGACAAAAGTAGAAATAGCTCTGAATGACAGAGACAAAACACACCATCTCTTCTGAGACAGTACTTCTAATAAGCTGATATTTCGAATCCACGTTTCCAGCTGGTGTTAGCTCAATACTATCTTATCACCTTCCACTAGACGTAAAATGTGAAAACT